CCAATGGATCTGCCTCGAAACTGAAAAACTAGAGCCCATGTTTTGATACAGTCAGAGAATTATGACCACGCCAGATACTGAAAACGATTACATGGTAGAGGATTTATTAGATTTTAAGGTAAAATTGTATATAAGGTCCGAACATGAACGATACATCAGTACTATTTGAGGGATGATAATTGCAAGAATCAGACCAGAATATTGATAACACAATTTTTCATAGGCATTCCTCAAGTTAAAAAATTATTTGCTTTATGATTCTCTGTTCTGCTGCAAATTGCTAGAGTATGCTTTCAATGATACCACCGACCGAACAGATAAACATGCTCAGTTCGATAAGCTGCTAACAGTGCTTAACAGTGAGTGGGCTGTTATGCTTCTTACGAAGTATTTTAGCCCCTTAGTTAGTTTCAACTACTCGAGATTTGCATTTAGTAGAGCAACAAAAGATCAAATGAACCCATAATCTTGGCTATTAATTGGCTGATTCTAATATTCTTACAAGCTCACCAAAGACATTTTAACGGAATTCACGTACAAACCTTTAATAGGGGTTTTTAGGTGTGAAGGAAGTTAGTGCGGAATATATTCAAAGAAACGTTGGTTTTCGAGGAATATTTTGATGCATAATTGTTGAGCTTACTTTCATTTCGAGCGAAAGTGTTTAGTGGAGAGGTTAGAAGGTCGATCAGACCAAAAGACCACGGTGGATTATTTCTGACCAATTGTCGATTAACTTTTACACAAAACACTTTCACTCGAAATGGAAGTAAGCTCAACAATTAACATGAAATCATTAGCATTGCTTTTGCTCTTTTCATCTCCGTAAAACTCGGGTTATTGGACATCCGATTTTGATGCAAGCGACATATACATGGTTAAAGCCTAAAATAAAATGTCATTAATTGGAGAAATGCATAAATTTAGTTAAAAACAAGTTGAAACATTAAAAGCTTGTGCAAATAAACTTTAGGGGTATTATTATTATAATATATACTACTTCTTTTTACCTTTACTTCGATTGTACCCTTCTCTGTAAAAGTATATACACCATAAATGTCGAGCTTCTTTCTCGTAGCATCACTAATGTGTATCCTTTGTGGCTAAAACAAAGCAAACCAAAATCAGGTTTTAACTTAAATCAACAAAATGCTTGGCGATTTATAGTCTGATAGATCTCTACATTTGCAACTTCATTCGAGCCACGTCAGACCTTGTAACTATACTTAACTCTTCAAATTTCATCCACTTAATCAGAATGTGCTTTACAAGGTACCTTTGTTTCATTGTGAATTTATTGAACACAACTGTAACCGCTATTACAAAAAAGGTCACACTATCTTAGTCTTCATACGTAATAAACCATAAAAGCTATGCCATTATTGGTTTTAGGGCGAAAGCGGTCATAACTGCGTTACTCAAAGTCTCTAAACTAGCAAAATGAGTTTGAAATGCAGCACTTCAAATGGAAGTAAGCACAATAATCTAGAAAGAGCCAACGAGGAGTTCAATCAATTGTTTTAAGCTTGCTTTTTTAATTTAATGAGGTACTATTTTTATTCAGAATTATCCATTTCTATTCCTCTAAGTATTCTTGCAAATTGCTTTATGGAACAATACTTTGCTTATAATAACATGTATAAAATGTAATGGATATGTATGGAAGCTGCTTTGGTCGAATTTAAATTGATATAACTATTTTTTTATTTTGTAAATTAATTCGTCCGGCTGAATAATAAGAATGACAAGATTTCTAACACTCGAGCACACCATCTATAGCTTAACTTCATTGTTAATCATTTGACACATATATTATTGTGTAATATATATGCAATTCACTTAAATGTCCAGATTTAGAATTTAATATTAGGCATTTTTAGCTGAATATAAAATAAACCAATAATTCGAAATACATAAAATATGAGCCAATAACATATAGCGAGTTACAAAGTAATGTAATGTATTTTACTAATATTGCATTAAGCCCAGGTCGGCATTAGTTTTCTCATCCACAAGAGTACTGTTCTTCAATCAGATAGTTCGCCTTAAGCGATAACAACTTGCCACAAAACCATATAGCCTTAGCGTAAGCATAGAGTATTAGATTTTCAGGACAAAACATAGAATTTTGAACACATTCTACACTAAAAGCATGAACTGAGACATGTTGATATTTCCATGAAAGTTGCATATGCCATCTGGATTGTAAACAAGAGGGAAAGTGTCCAAAGTTTGGATTGCAAAGAGTCCAGTTACGAGTGTTGAGTAGGCTTATGTAAATGGCAAAGTGATTTCTGTTTGCATTTCCTCAATGACTGAGAAAGCTGCAAATCGAAATACAGTCGTTATGAGTCTATAATAGGCGGACTTATAATTCCAAAGCAATTAAAATGTCTACAATAAACTATAAGTAATGCTAATCTCCATTTAATTAAGCTCACGGAACATTACAAGCTAAAATAAAACACATCGAAACTGAATACAGTGCATTACAGTAATAAGCAGAGCCCTGTAAAATAAATTTATTTTTAAAGATATCTTACTGCACTGGCTGCTTCCATTCTTGATGCTGTGTTCACAGTGTCACCAAATAGACAATATCGTGGCATTTTGAGGCCTACGACACCAGATACCGCCATTCCACTGTGAATTCCTAGTTTGTTGAAAATATTTAAAATAGGAATACCCATATAAGTCAATTAAAAGTAATTTCTGAAACATGAAACAACAACACTTCGCTTGATCTATAATTATATTTTAATCTATCGAAGAGGAATATTTTCTGTAATTTGTCCAAATATAATTAGTTATAGCTTTATCCTTCAATCAGGATTGATTGTAGAATAAAACCGCAAAAATGAAGCGCAAATGAATAAAAAAACTAAATAGTCGTATAATAAGTTGGTGAATTCCTTAATAATTATAAAACCCATTCAGATTAAGAAAAAAATATTTTTGAGACTCTAGAAAATGCTTAGGGTTTCTAACAGAATTTCTTTAAATAACTATGCATTAACACTATACAAAAAAGAAGGCTGGTTGTGAAATGACCTTCAACTTCGAATAAAAGTGGGATGGAAGGAATTCGTGATGTAGTCACATCCGAAACTGAAGAAGAATTGCCGAGTAGGGAAGAATGTGTACTGTGCGAAGAAGTCCTCGGCTCAACGTTCTGCGACCCCGATGAACCTGTCCTACGCTTTCATCTGTACTGCCGTCATAGACCACCAGAATAAGAATCCATACTTTACGAAATAGAGAAAAAACTATACTAAACCAAGAGAAAAGTTGGCCGGCTGTAACCCTAGTTGCTCATTTAAACAAACAATCTCGCGATATTAATGAGGCATCCCATCATTTGGTTGGCTACTTCAACCTTACTTTATATGAAGATATGAAGACCAATATATTGTGGCCTCTGGCATGGTCGCAGACTCCTTTCGATTTATTCAAGTGGATTGACCTTGTGGTCGCAACTTGGTCTTGTTGTCAGGGCGACTTGGTAGAAGGCACCTAGCCCGAAGTCGTCTGCCGTAGTAGTTGTCATGATTCCCAGCAACAGACAGTGAACTTGGTACATTCTCAAACGTTTCGCCGGCATCGTAGTTGGCATCATCAGTGAGTTTTGCCATTCGTCGCACCAAACTACGAACTCGTGAAATAGACAAGTAGATAGATAGGCCAGGACAGAAAGAGGAGTGATAATGTAACTGTTATCGGCAGAATGTTTGTCGAGGGATTGACTTCATCATCATTCTTCCTTACGCTGCAATCCTCCATCAGTTTCGGATGAGACCACATCACGAATTCCTTCCAACCCACTTTTATTCAAAATATGAGATCATGCCATAATTAATCATTAAGTAATCTATCGAAATCCAATTTTTTTTCTTTAAGAAGGCTTACTCTTATTAGTGTACCATATGTTCACCCGTTATTATTTTTATTTGGCTTCAGCTGTAAAAAAGAATCATTTTAAACACTCTCATTTTGCGTTTTTCCATATCTCAAGGGCAAAGCTATAAGGTGCGTTTTTCTAAATGAAGACCGAATTCCATTAATTTTATCTTTAAATGATATTCTCTACGATTCGAATAGTTCGCCGCTCCTCTAGAGTCAATGGCCTTGCATTATCTAAATATCTGATTTCTACTTTTTTAATGTGGTTATAGTTTA